CTTCATTAATTATTGTTGTGTTTCATTCATAATAGATGCTTACGTTTCACATCGTTACTGAATGATGTTTACGTTGTATTTCATTAATTATTGGTGGTGTGGTTGTGCCTCATTACTAACTAGTGTTTCTGTAATTCTTCATTAATAGCCCATGTTTCCATTTTTTTTGCGCTTCGCTATAAACTGATCATTCCGTTGTTCTTCGTTACTGTTGGAGTTTTCGCTTTGGTTAATTATTGATCATTTTCATTTCTGCTTGTGGAACAACTATGGTCCCAAGTACCCAATTGTTCAATTACATCAAATATTATTAGGTCGTCAAGAAATTAATGTCGAGTTTTGGAACATTTTAATTAACCACCCCCCAAAAAACGTATATCACGTATAATAGTTAAACGAACCACCTAAATGTCACATTAGTGTAGCCTATATCTTAATGGGAAAATGTAGACAATGTGGAAGATGTTAAAGAGGACATCGACATGTTTTTTACTTCAAAGCCAAGTGATTTCTTTAATCAGGGCATTAACAACCTGATTGTAAGATGGAAAAGCATCATCGATAAGAATGGAGACTATTTCATATAATAAAATGGCGAAACGAAACTGTAACCAAACAAACCAATCCCGTGACAGTTCTGAGAATTTTCTTCAAATGTTAACTCAGTTATTTGTACAAAACTGTATAATCAAGTGAGGTTCTAAAGACAGTAGTAGACAATAGGAATTTAAATTTAAGATTGAGAAAATATTCTGAGCGTATTTTACCCGGTCATGTAGTTTCGGCCCTCGGACTACAGTCTAAGTAAGAAACTCACCCACGGGCATAAAGAAGTTGACCATCCGTGTACTAAGCTATGTGTGCTTTGGTTTCAAAATGGCTTTTATTGGGAAACAAAATAAGTAAAAGCATAAAATACCCGCGTTCTGTTTCGGGTTTTAAAGGCCTCCCCATTATTCACAGAGGCAACAATGTACCGGTCAAGCTGCTCCATTATCCAAAATTGCTTCAATCCGTCCAAAAACAAACCTTCTGAGGACATCTGCCCGTGGTATCTGAGTTTGTGTGTCACATTTGGTTTTGCTGGCTCCAAAAACTGTGAGAAGAGCTCGTGGACAAACAAACAAATTAACAATCACAACGTGAATTAAAATAGGATGCATAGCTATATTTTAACTATGTGTAACTTATAAAATAATATATATATATATATATATATACATACTTCATCTGCTCAAATATTTGTCAGAGCTTATTTTTACCAGAACTTAAAAAAAAACCCTACAGACTCATACGAAAATTTGAATTGCTCTCATAAGAGTGATTGTAAGTGGTGGCGTAAGCGTAGCCTAGTGGTTACCTAAAAAAAACCTAAAAAAAATCGCGTTCCGCAATTTGTGGGCGTGGGTCCGTTATAAAGGTGTTACGGTCAAATCCCACCATTCCGTCAAACAAGAGTTGGCGGTGAGTTCTGTAGAGTAGCTGCCTTCCCTCTAGTCTATCAATTCGAAATTAGGGACCGCTTAGACAGATAGCCCTTGAATGGCTTTGAGCGAATATCCGAAAACAAATTTATAATTGGCTGAAACTGATCACGTGGTTTATTTAACACGTAAAATTGCATGTGTTCACCTGAAATACTTTCGAACTAAGATGGCCTTGGTTACTCTGAAAAAAAAAACATGTTTGTTGAAAACTCGCGATGTTTCCTCCGAAGGTGACTTCTTCTCAGGTTTTACAAGGATGTTTGACAAGGTGCTGCATTCTTCCTGCTATTGCTGCGGGCTAAGGCGTTTGCCCTACTTTTGAGTATTTTGTCCTCACCGACAAAACCACTTATACCTGCTGACACAGTCAATTCTAAATGTTAATTTCTAATGTTTAACCTTGATCTACTCTCAAAAGACACTTCTTTTAGTGGGATCAGAAGACACCCAAGTGAAATCTGCTGGCTACTTTATCTATCTATTTATCTATATATCTATCTATATCTATCTATCTATCTATCTATATATCTATCTATCTATCTATATATATATCTATCTATCTATCTATATATCTATCTATCTATCTATATAT